CTGTCACCTTTGGATGCCATTTCAAGAGCCTCTTCAAAACTTTCACAGCCAGTCAGTAAGCTACATAAACCTAGAAAGGTACCTCCTCCAAGGCTAAAGAAAATAAAGAAACTTGGTAAACTATATTTACATAGTGTATTCATTCACTAAAGTAAAAGAGTAAAACATTTACTTACTTAATAAACATATTACTAAGAGCTGAAGTGTTAACATGATAAAGTAAAGTAAGTAAAACCAAACTTGTCAAATATAGGAATAACCCAAAGAAATAAACCACTTGACTTGGTACAAACAACATGAGGACAAGAGGGTATCTTTTATACCTTCCAAAGCCTTCACCTCTTAAGTTATGTTTTACAGTTGTCCAAAAACTTATTTCTGTGTGTATGAAAATGTGAAAGTGTTAAAGACCAGTGAATTTTTTAGGATCATATGAACTAGGAGGAGAAAACTCATAATTCAAAAATGGTTTCTAGGTAAATAATTTGTGAAAGGCTTATTTAATTCACTGACAGTGTTGCAATTAATTCAATGATACATTTAACATATTCTACAAACATAGTGAGGAAATTTATGTCAGGTCGGTTATGGTAATGATAGAAATTTACTTGGTTCCATTATTCTTTTGGATATGCTCACAAAGTGAATTCACATCTCTCAAGTGCCCAAAAGCAAAACTTTTGCTTCCTAGTCCTCATCTTCATTTGTTTCTAAACACATTTGAATTTACTTGAGAGTGAATTTCTGTCTTTCTAAATTAGCTGAAGTCAAAAAATAAAATAAAATTAGTTGAACCAGGTAGTACTTGCTTGTTTAATTCTTAGGTATCGAGAACTAAAATGGTGGTAACATTTAAACCTCCATAAGAATAAAGTACTACTTTAAAACTAAAATGAGATATTTCACAAGTTAATCTAATACCCCCAAACCTTTCTTCTCAGTTAAATAATAGGAGTTTCCACTACCTCTTAAAAGACAAAAACAAAAGTACCTAAAAGATTCATAGAAAAAATTTAAAATCACATTACTATTTAAAGTATTACAGAAAAATTTTTGTGGTATTTGAACATTTATGTTATCTGATAAAGAACTCACATTAAATCCATCAAGTAAGAATTAATTACAATGCTGCCTAAAGTTGCTAATCAAATGTCAATATTCAGCATGTGATAAGCTTTATGCTTAAATACATCTGTGAGAAAGTGAAAAATGGGGAAAGATGAAAAATGCTGAGGGAAAAAAAATACATAAAAATAGAAATAGATATTATACAATTTTGTCATCACCCCTCTGTCATTTTCTTGTATTGTGGTAGCCTGTATGTTGCTCTGATGCTATGCCATCAGTATTTCAAATACCAGCATTATCCACAGTGGACAGGTTTCAGCAGAGCTTCCAGACTCAGACAAGAAAAAAAGGCCTGGTGATCTATGTCCAAATATTAGCCAATGAAAACTTCATAGATCGCAACAGAACACTGTCCGCCTCATATGCCTGGGACATGTCATCAGGAGGAATCAACTGCTGGAGATGTTTAGTAAGCTAGAAAACTAGTGAGGGCAAGGAAGACCCTCAGTGACATGGACTGGCACAACAGCTGCAATGATGGACCTGAACATGCCAGTAATTGTGAAGGTAAGGCAGTATGTAGCAACGTTTCATTCTGTTGTACACAGGATGCCCTAAGTTGGGATGACTCCACAGCAGGGAGCTATCTGTCTGTCCAAGTTTGGCAATCAACAGAACATTGTCTCTTGGAAGTAAATGTTCTTTGGTTAAACACTGAAGTTACTAGAATAATTCCAGATAAAAATTCACTCTTATCATTGTGGAAATTTTGATGCCAACTGATAGTAATCAATAATAAATACTTAATGATTATAGTTGACTGCTTATACACATACCTTAGAAAGAGATATTACTTGTAACATTTTAACTTATACTTACACACCTACACATTTGCTGTTGCACAAATACATATATTTTCCAGGTAAGTGAGCACTGATACATTCGTAACTTCTGTGTGTGAAACAATGTGAATGCTGCAGTAAGACCAAAAAGGTTTCTACCTTGTTCCAGTCACTCGTTTATAGTTGTCTTTGGAATGGACTGCTAAAATACTGACTCCCGAACCAATGTTCACTACCAGTAGTGGATAGGGATC